TACTGAGGAACACGTTAGTGGTGGTGTGGGACTCGCAGCTCTGAGCAGCGCTGCTGAGCCAGCTCTGCTCTCTGTGTCCTGCAGCTCCCTCTCCACAATCCTGCGCTAATAAATATTTCAGTCTTTCTCGCTGTTATTTTTAGGTATGTGCGAGAAGGCCGGTTTCGGATCGAGGAGAGGACGCTGACGGCTTTCCAGTGGCTGTACTCGCCCCACCAGCACCGCATCGTCAGCCGGGCAGACCTGGGCTCGCCCAGCAGGTAAGGGGGGGGCCAGCGGGTGCAGGGCCATGGGGAGCACTGGCATGTCCCCCGGCAGTGCTGCCAGCAGCCCGCTCTGTCACGCGCCCTCGTGGTTTTGACGTGGGTCCCCGGAGCCTCAGCCTGTCTCTGGGGGCCTGCAAATATCTGAGCATCTTGGGTTTGGCTTTAAAGTAAGGTTCCAGATGCAGGGGCAGCCAGGAGCTGCGTGCATGGCATGAGCACCCCTCTGGTTTAAAGCACTGCAAAGGACAAATTACTGACTGCCTCTCCAAAATTTTATTTTTAAAACCCCTGTGCTTTTGGTCATGCACACAATCTTTTGAGGACCTGCTTTATGCATGTAGCACACTTGAGGTTTAACTAAAAAATAAATTGGGAGTCAGGGGCTGCGTATCTCCCACCTCTGGAAAATATGTGTTCCGATACCCTGATTTCATGTGGTGCTTAAACTCTCCCCTTCGCAGCTGGTTGAGAACATGTCTCGGAGCCAGGTCCTGGGCGTGTGCCGTGGCTCTCCCTGCTGATGCATATGCATCGCTGTCGGTTTGGATCCCAGGGTCTGGTGATAAAACGCCATTAACATAAAAGCCTTGCGGGCCTCAAGACCCATCTAGCGCAGTGTCTGTTTTGCTGCCTGTTAAGAGCCCTGAACCACCCCGAGTCCCTGGGCGGGCGTGCGGCTAAAAGCTTTTCCCTCTGTGTTTCGGCAGCAGTTTTGCTCTGAGAGCCCTTAAAGCCCTGAAGTATTTATCTCCCTGGAATCGCGTGTGCCAGAATAACAGCAGGAGGGAGGGGGTGCCCTACACGCAGGGCTCGCTGCGGAGGAGCAGGGGCTGCCCGGGCTGAGCCCCCTCCCCAGGATGGGAAAGGGCTGCGGGTGCTCTTGGGGGCTCCCTGCAGGGTGAGGGGTCTCCAAGGGGGGGGACAGTGCTGAAGGACGCCTGGGCGGGGG